GATCGGCTCCACCACCTCTGCTTTGATTGTCTGTGTGCCATTGTCGTGCATCGGCTCTGTATGAAGCAAAGCAAAACACTGCTCACTGTTCAGTGAAGCACAATTTAACAGAAGAAAGATGAGTGTAATCCTAAGAAAGTGTTGACGGCAGACGTTCCCCTCTCTCTAATGACAGTTTTGAAATGTGTCCAGTGTAAATCCTGACCCCCACTCCCTTTGGAGCGCTGCCTGAAACATGGCTCTCCCATGCCTCAAGACAACCGGGTCATTTTAGCTCAGTAAGCTGGCCGCACTAAGCTCTAATGTATCTGTTGAGTTTTAATATCGGTCAATGCACTGCACGTCTGACCCTAAAGAACCCTGGCTTTTCTAATCTTCAGCCTGCTCCACCAGCTCGCTCCAGACCACAGTCTGTTTCGCACCCCCACACAGGCCTGAGCGCTCTGAACACTATGTCCTCTTTCAGCAGCCTTTATTGTAGTCTTCATCTGAGTGGTTTATCAGTCCCTGCAGCTCAGAACAATGTGGAAAATGTAACGATAACATCAAAATCATTAAATTATTAGGGCTGCCAATTTAACATGCTAATTTAGTACAATTAATTATAGAGATGCTAAAAAAAAATAAAAAAAAATTAATTCAATGGCCAAAGACAGTCTAGCATTTTTACATGCACAAAAAATAGTCTTGTAGATTGCAAAATGGATTGCTGTGGACTGCAGGATATACTTATATTTAATAATATGAAATTACAATATAATACAATATATTGACTAAAGTCACTTTTTGTAAAGTCTATTCAACGTTTTCATCCACAATGATATAATGACTACGAATTATCTTCATTTGGAGGCTATCCTCAGCAAATATTGATGCATGCGATTAATTTGATTAAGTTAATTAATACCATAATTACATGACATAATTAATGACTTGATATGCTGAATATTAAGTAAGTACTTGCTATGCTAAATAATTATCAAATTAATCAAATGATGAACACTTTAATTGACCGACAGCCCTAGAAATTACACAAGAGCGCATTTAAATTGCTGTCTGAAGATGTGGTAAGTCCTAGATCTTGTCTTCAGTGAATTGGACACTAAATATGCCACTCACAATTGCCTACTTAAAGCTGACAAGGAATTGCTGCTTTTGTACTAAGTGTAAAAACAGCTCTATGAAGCCTTAAAAAAATGCTAACCAGCAAAATTGCATTTTAAAATGGATAGTCCTGACTATACTAATTAGAAAATCATTGTCAAGGCCTGTTCAGTATGAATTTACAATACAGATGCATTTTAAGGGTTTAGGTTTTAATCAAAACACTGAACTTCTATGATTCAGAGAACAATCAAAATTCTGAATCAGATTTGAATAGATCTGTTCAATGATTTTGGTACAAATATTTTACATTTGCACACCGTTTCGTTGAATCAGCATTGATCTGCCGATATCTATGATTTATGCAAATCTCACCGCTGCCAAGCCTCACGAGCAGGACGTCCTGCAGGCGTCGATTGAAATCACGCAGCTCCTTGACTTCGGTCAGCAGACTGCCATACTCCTTGAGCTTCTTGGCCTGTTGGAGCAGCTGCCTGCGTGTGCGCTCCAGTTCCTGCTGCAGGCGTCTCATTTCCTCTTCCTGCTGCCTGTAGCTGTGCACCAGCTCCTCATATAGGACACGAGGCACCACGGCCTCGTCCTGCTCTTCCTCTTCTTCTGTTGTGAGTCTGTCCAGCTCCTCTCCCTCTGTGCATGAGTTGACAGCGTTCCTCTCCAGCCGTGCCACCACTGCAGCCAGGCTTTTTGAGGAGTTGGAACTTGCCCGATGCTGTTCCTGTGACTGGACCTGCATCACAACATTGAGCATCTTGACCAGTGCAAATTGCGTACAAGGAAATAATAATATACTATTTATTTTTTTGGTTATCTACCTTTCTCCAGAGTTAAGTTTTAACTCCCACACCTAATGAGAATCTTTCAGCTTACAAAATACACTAAGGGTAGTCAAGCTAGATAAAAAAA